AGGCAGGAGAATTGCCTGAACCCAGGAGGCGGAGGTTGCGGTGAGCCGAGATCGTGCCATTGCACTCCAGCCTGGGTAACATGAGTGAAACTCCGTCTCAGGAAAAAAAAAAGAAAAAAAAAGAAAAAACAGACTATATTGCATGGATTTATACTTGCTTCTGCGTCTTGATAGGTATTTTTTTTTAACTTAGTTAATATGTTACAGCTTTCTTTCCATGTCAGTGTATAGATGTTTTCATAAGATTTTATTGTCTATATGTAAGACTTTATTTTTTTAAATCGCTGCTTATTAGCACCGTAAGACAGGGCAAGGAAAAATTAATAGAAAAAAGTAGCTGCTTAGCATTCCAGTTATTAAGTTTACCATAGTTTATTCACTTAATCTACTACTCACATCTAGGTTGTTTTCAATTTGAGGCTATTAAAAGCAATGCTGCCTTGAACATTCTTGGGTAGTTTGTGTGGGCTACTGTTTTGGATACAGAAGTTGTAGGAGTGGCGTTGTGGTAGAGTGTAAAGTGGCATAGTGGAGTCAACCAAATGTGGCTTCAAACCCCTTGAACAAGTTATTTAAACTTTCTGAGTTTTAGCTTCTACCTTTGTTAAACAGGGATAACACTTGTCACTGAAACTTGTGAACATTACAAACGATGTATGTAGAACACCTACTTCAGTGACTGACATGTAACAGGCACAAAATAAATGTTAGCTTTAAAAGGTGTTTTAATCAATTTTATTATTCCCAGGGCTTTGGCAGACATTAAGTTTTTCCTTTTACACTCCTTTTATTTTTCTTAATCTGACTTAATATCAACTGTTATATTTATAGAAGGCATTTTATGTTTAATTTAAAAGTAAAAGATGGAGAAATGATTCTTGTAAGCTTGCTGTAGTTTGGTAGTAGCATTTCTTTGTTTTTATATAAGTAAACCTGAATATCAATCTGCTTGTCCTCCATTTTGCCCCCCACAGGGTGTGTACATGGGCTGGTTAACAGCATCTGGAAGTGGAGCCAGGATTCTTGGCCCTGTGTTCATCAGCCAAGTGTACGCTCACTGGGGACCACGATGGGCATTCTGCCTGGTATGTGGAATAGTGATGCTCACCATCACACTCCTGGGAGTGGTTTACAAAAGACTCATTGCTTTTTCTGTAAGGTATGGGAGGATTCAGGAGTAAACTAGCCGAGACTGTGATGGAAAGTACTTGTTGTATGGCACTTCCTGGTCCAAAGCTCTGCTAGGCAGTTGTGATGAACCAGTCTCCAAGAACAAGAACATATGTTGACTAATAGAATTCTACATGTAATTATGAATAGTAGGTTATATAAAAACATATTGGATCATAATTTCCTTATCTCAGAAATGAAACATTCGTCTTATAATACTTTTTTGAGGTTGCATGAACTAATGAGTGGATAGACAATGATATATAAATGTGAAGTTGTATTCTTAATACAAACTGCAGAAATGTCACTAAAATAATATACAGTGGAACCAAAAGAGGGTTCTGTAAGAATTAGCCATAGCAGAATAGAATTCTAGAATTTTAAGAACCCAGGTAGAGGCATTTTTATTCAAAGACATCTACTTTTTATTATTAAGAAATGCATTTTCTATTATAAAGTTGCCTTATGAGATAAAAATCATAACACTTATATTTTCCATTTTGCATGCCTAACATCCTACCTTGCTTTCTGTGAGTCTTTCTCCTAATACTGCACCTCTGCCTTATTTTAGTTTAGGGTTTCACTAAGTAACTTCTACATTAATACATGAGCATGAGTAATGCTAATATTTGAGCAGCACAGAGGATTAAGAGATCAAGATATTTCACTGCCTATTAGTTACCCTAATAGGGCTACCTACCTTTTTCTTTCAAATGCCAGTAATTCGCTTTAGAAACATAATCCAGATACGTGTTTGTGTGTGTGTGTGTGTGTGTGTGTGTGTGTGTGTGCGCGCGTATAGACACAAAATAGTAAATGGTTTCTTAAAATTATTGCTATTTTTCAACCCCCTTAAACTGGAGAAAAACATTCACTTTAATTAGATTATTTTCCCATCTCTTAGTAGTGGTGGGGAGGAACACAACAGTTTTCAATCTGTGTCTGCATAGCTGTTTAGAGCTGCAGAATTTTAGTTGGATTTTTAATTTGAATGATCCCTGACAGCTCCAATCTAGTCAGGTTAATAAATATTTGAGGCAAAATGGCTTTAATCTAACAGTTTACTGAGTTTACCTGAAGTTGGCTAAATAACACTCTGTATGTTTATACTTCTACCTCTACATAAGTTGAATGCTGATAAAAAGAACTAGTAGAGGACTATGTATATGGATAATCAGTGTTATAGAAAATGCAAAAATATTTCTAAATACTTTTCCAAATGTTTTCTACTTTAAGTTAGAAATATTTTCAAACCTGAGAATAAACACTATAATCTGCACTTCACAGGCAGGGTGCAGTGTCTCACACCTGTAATCCCAGCACTTTGGAAGGCCAAGGCAAGAGAATTGCTTGAGGCCAGGAGTTCAAGACCAGCCTGGAAAACAAAGCGAGACCCTGTCTCTCCAAAAAGTAAAATAAAAACAAAAATTAAAAAATATGTAATATGCACTTTATACTAAACTTGCTGTGCTCTTACAGTCAGTTTTTGTTCAGCTCTAGAAAAGGTCTTAATTTGATAGAATCATTCTATGATTAAATTTTGAAGACTGTTTTCACTCTCCTCTTCTGCCCATAGCAAGACTGCATCCATGGATTTATCAGAACTGCAGCCAGGTTTCTGGCTATTTGGCCAAATCTGGCATCCCTTTTACCTGTTATACTGCAGGTGCTTTCTGTGTCTTACATTTTTTGGGTCACTTCTAATCTTAAAGAGTAAACTCCACCCTTGGTTTGCATAGTGTGCATGACAGAAATAACCAGCAATAATAGTAATGATGAAAATGATGGGGCAAACATTTGTGGAGTGCTTTCCATATTCCAGGTAATGTGTAACATATAATTTAATTCTTACAGCAGTCTTACTGAGTGAAGATACTATTATGATTCCCATTTTACAGATGAAAGAATGGAGGCACAAAGAAGTTACTTGTCTAAGTAACAGTCTATCCTTAAAGTCCACAGTCTTAACCACTGTATTTTTCATAGTGAGGAAAATAAAAATAGCCCAGAAAGTTGCAGTTTCAATTAATTACTAATTGTAGGGTAACTTACCTATACCAGTGACTCCTATTAGCAGAAATATTTGAGAAACATAAGCCCACTGACTGGAGCTTTTGTCTTAGCATAATAGCCTGTTTCCAGCAAGAAAATAGCATAGAAAAGTTTCCCAGCTTCCAGAGATTTATAATATTTATTAAAATTCAGATAAACTATAACCTTGCATAAATTACTGTTATTTTCCTTTTTATTGAGAGCATTTTCTTTAGAGCATTTTCTTCTTATTGAGAGCATTTTCTTTAGAGCATTTTCTTCTTATTGAGAGCATTTTCTTTGGAGCATTTTCTTCTTTAGAGTATTATACCTTGCTCATCTTGGCACAAAAGAAGACAAAAGGAAGTAACATGGGATTGGGAAAAGAGCAAGGAGGCAAAGTTTGAGGAAAAAAATCACTCTGTTGATGTCTTCTTGAGTAGGACGAGTTGAGTGTAAGTAGAAAGTGATGACAGGAGATTTTAAGGTATGATATATTGTTAAGAGTAGTACATATTTAAGAAAAGAAAATATGTCTTTGAAAACCTAAATTTAAACTTGAAAAGAAAGGATGATTTTCATATTTTGAAAGGATTTATAACTTCTCAAAGCATCTCCATTCTATCTTGTTCAGTTTTACATTTAAAAATAAACTCCTGTGGTTCATATAAAATTTACCTCTTACATAAAGTGAAATCTGTAATTGTTTGTTTTAACAAGGATAAACTACTTATCTGCGTCTGTTCAATAATAGATTAACTTATTTTGAGAAGAAATTCTGGACACCGTTTTTGACTACTGAAGACTTATTTGTAATTTAATATCTACTTTACATTGTGAATGTTCATTTTCTAATAAACAAGATTATTTTGCATATATACCTTAAGTTTTTACACTTTATTCAGTTGTGCTTTCAATACATATTTAACAGGGTACCCACTATGTGCCAATTACCATGTATTTTGGGGGATTGTGCAGTAAACAAAACACGTAGAGCTCCTACCTTCATGAGGCTTACCTACCATCTCTACTAAAAATACAAACATTAGCTGGGTGTGATGACAGGTGCCTGTAATCCTAGCTACTCAGGAGGCTGAGGCAGGAGAATCCTATCACCATTGTAACAACACAGAGCAGCACCTTACCTGTTTTGGTAATGCTTGTGTAAACAAACTTACTGTACTGCCAGTTGTATAAAAGTATGGAACATACAGTTATGTAACATATTATTGGATAATAAATGACTATGTTCCTGGTTTATGTATTTACTATACTATGTACCATAATTTTATTTTGTTTTTTTGAGATGGAGTATTGCTGTATCACACAGGCTAAAGTGCAGTGGCACGATCTTGGCTTACTGCAGCCTCCAGGCGATTATACGAAAAAGAAAACCTCCAGGTTCAGGCAATTATACTAAAAAGAAAAAGCCAGGTGCGGTGACTCACACCTGTAATCCCAGCACTTTGGGAGACCAAAGCAGGCGGATCACCTGAGGTCGGGAGTTCAAGACCAGCCTGACCAACATGGAGAAAACCTGTCTCTACTAAAAATACAAAATTAGACGGGTGTAGTGGCACATGCCTGTAATCCTAGCTACTTGGGAGGCTGAGGCAGGAGAATTACTTGAACCTGGGAGATGGAGGTTGCCGTGAGCCAAGGTGAGCCATTGCACCCATCCTGGTGCAATGAGGATATGTTATGCAACAAGAGTGAAACTCTGTCTCAAAAAAAAAAAAAAGTAGAAAAAATAATTTTTTTAAAAACAGAAAAAAGCTTTTAGAATGTCATGTTTTTATACAGCTGTATCATGTGTTTTAAGCTGTTATGAAATGCCAAAACATTTAAGAAAAGTGAAGGCTTATAAAGTTACAGTAAGCTAAGGTTAACTTATTATTGAAAGAAATATCTTTTTGTCTGGGTGTGGTGGCTCACACCTATTACGCCAGTACTTTGGGTGGCCGAGGCAGGTGTATCACCTGAGTTTGGGAGTTCAACACCAACCTGGCCAACACATTGAAATCCCATCTCTATTAAAAAAGTAGCCGGGTATTGTGACACACACTTGTAGTTCCAGCTACTCAGGAGGCTGAGGCAGGAGAATCACATGAGCCTGGGAGGCAGAGGTTGCAATGAGCCGAGATTGCACCACTGCACTCCAGCCTGGGTGACAGCAAGACTCCATCTCAATAAAAAATATATATACATTATTTGCAAATTTAGTATAGCCTAAATGTATTGTCACATTTACTCACCACTCACTCACTGACTCACTCGGTACAAATTCTAGTCCTGCAAGCTTCATTCATGGTAACTGCCCTATTCACATGGACCATTTTTTGTCTTTCATGCCACATTTTTTACTGTACCTTTTCTTTGTTTAGATACATAAATACCACTATGTTACAATTGTCCACAATCTTCAGCAAGGTAACATGCTGTACAGATTTGTAGCCTAGGAGCAATAGGCTATACATATAGCCTAGGTGTGTAGTAGGCTATAGCAACTAGGCTTGTGTAAATACACTCTTTGATGTTCACCCAACAATGAACTCACTTAAAGATGTATTTCTTAGAACATATCCCATCGTATTACAGCCAAGCAATACAAGACTGTAATACAGTTTCAGGAAGGAAATGAGCAGATAGCGAAATAAATTTGATAAGTTGATAATTTTCTAAGCTGAGTGATTAGTGCACAGAGATAGATTTTACTATTTCATCTACTTCTGTATATATTTGACACTTCCTTAAAAATTAATTTGAAAAATATTTTGTAACAAACTTAGGTCATGGAAGAAATATGAATTGAAATCACAGAATTTCTTGAAAAAATAATCTGAAAAGTTACCATATCAGAATGGATGCAACCAAAACAGGTTTCAGAGGAAAATGAGTAACATGAAATATCTATATCAATAAAAATGATGAAAATAAATCAATTATGTACTCAGCACAAAAAGCTAAAGAAAGATATTTACAATACTCAAATAGTAGAAGCAACTCAAGAATCCATCAGTGGATGAATGGATAAACACAAATGGTACAATATGTAAATACAATGGAATATCATTCAGACCAAAAAAGGAATGAAATATTGATACATGAAACATGGATGAACCTTGAAGACATTATGCTAAGTGAAATAAGCCATACACAAAAGTATAAACATTGTATGATTCCACTTATACCAGCTACCCAGAATAACCAAATTCATAGATACGGAAAGTAGAATAGAGGTTACCAAAGGCTAGACAGGGGTGAGTGGGAAGTTATTTAATGGGCACAGAATTTGGGGTGATGAAAAGTTCTGGAAATGGATAGTGGTTATGAGGCAGTATAGGTGTAGTCAAGGAAATGACCATATCCGTGGGACGTGGCAACTGTGGCCACCATATAATTGACACAATAAGCCTCAGCATTTGCATTGCAGTTGCTCATTCAAGAAAAGCGATCTTCAGCAGGGAATTTGATTTTACCTGTCCTAAAACTGGCCCTTTGCTTGTCATGATAGTGAAAAACATATCCCTGGGTGGAGATTTCAGATGCTAATAAGACATGAAACATATGAACAAGCATGTACAGCTACTGTACATATGCAGCCAGGATGCCACTCAGAATATGCTTCCTAGTAACACTTCTTCCCAGCTCCTTAGCAATAATCAACTCTGTCTCATCCTTATGAGTAGCCCCTCCAAATTCTCTCTTTCAGGGTGTACTGTCTACTCTGCACTTAACTTTCAAAATATTCTTTTTCCTTTCCAATGAATTGCCCTATGCTGCATCTTCTTTGCTGTGTGTCTCTTGTTTAAATTCTTTTAAACTAAGAAGACAAGACCCCAAACTGTACAACATGGTGAAACTCTATTAAAAATACAAAATGTAGCCAGGCATGGTGGCATGTGCCTATAGTCCCAGCTAGTTAAGAGGCTGTGGTGGGAGGATCACTTAAGCCCTGAAAGCCAAGGCTGTGGTGAGCTGTGATTGTGCCCCACTACACTCCAGCTTGGGCAACAGAGCAGACCCTGTCTCAAAAAAAAAAAGATGAAGACAAGAACCAAGGTATTATAACAGCTGTCAACAGTTATGGTTGCAGAACAGTGTGAATGCACTTAATGCACAGAATTGTACACTTTAA